AGTCACAGAAAACCCGGATGGACGAGTACCTCCGTCAGTAGAGTTAGTGCGCAAGCAAGGCGAGAATCTGGGGGAAAGTGGATAGCTGAGAGACCCTGGTCGTGAGAAGTGGTTGCTAGGTCCGAATGGGGTCGGCTGGTGCATGCGCGTTGCAACGATATGATGAAAAAAGAAGGGAGCGAGAACAGGGCTTACCTCGTAGTCGAAAGTTCCCCGCGCATACCCGACCTTCGAGTGGTCTGCGGGCCTCAGGGCTACGCTGGTGATCGTATAGAGCAGAGGCGAGGGTTGCAGAGGAGCAGGGGGTGTGGACGGGTAGGAATACCGGATTGGATAGTATCCTCCGTTAGGACGGGGATCTTCTTGGGTCAAGGCGAGGCCGGGGAAGTGGGCTTTTTGACCTCTATTGCCTCTTAGCTAAGTTCCGAATCCTGGCCATTGTGGCGTGTGGGCATGTATTGGAGAAAAGTGGTGTCTCTGTGTGTGTGTGTGTGAAGGCCGCAGACTGTGCTCGGTACTCATCTCGTTGGACATGTGAAGAAGGAGATCGATTCCCCATAAGGGGAGCGGCATGATGCAGATGGACATGGACTTTGCAGTGTTGGGAAGCTGGACTTTTGTATGTTGGGTCGGGCGTAATTTCGGAGCCAATTCCCTCATCTTAGTCGTTAGCTGACATGGCGCTGCGCTTCAATCAGCGTTGAATCTCAAGGACTGGTGAAATTGTGGATGAGATCTGGCGGACGTGCAACACTTGTGGTTACATGTATTATTATTGATTCAATCGCGCTCGAAAATGGAGTATTCTCCGTAGCTGGGTTCAAATTGCTCTCCTTCTTTTCTCCCTTCCAGGCCAAATCCGGGGTGACTGGGGACGACGGCGGGAACATCTCTTGGCTGCTTGTCACGCGCTATTGATGGGTAAATCGAAAATTGCCATTGGCCAAGCGTCTGAAGAGTATCAGAAGTAAGACGAGCTGAAGGCCGCAGCTGTCAGATGAACCTCTGGCCATGCGTGCCATGGTCCCTGGTGAAGTAAGTTTGGGGGGTTTCTGGCAGTCTGCAAAGTTAATTGAGAAGATGATGATGGTTCCTGGCCTTGCTTGACCATGGCCACAGTGCCACAAGCGCCCCCGGAACCATGGGTCCAGTCTTTGCCCGTATTGAACCATCTAGAACACCTTGATACCACTTCGTAAAGGCCATTGGAGACACCGTCCCAGTCGTGTCGCCTCTGCTTTCGTAGAGGGATCTGGGCGGCTTGGTGATTTTGCGAACTTTGGTAGCTTGATTGGCCACTTTTGCCCGTCCAAGTCCATGATCCGGAAACGCAAAGGTCCCGTGTTTCGGTACCTTAAACTGCCAGTGGCTTGCCAATCCATCCGGGTCTGACGCCTTAAGGTTAAGAGAGAGAGATGGTGGCACCAGACATACAATCATACCCGGAACGCCAGACAAGAAGGCAGACACAGGCAGGCAAAACAAGGTGGGCAGATGCAGGAACACACGGCAGCCACAAGCAACCACCATGATCCCTCTCTCCATGTATCCCATCTAGGTAATACCCGTGTGTCATGTCTGCCTTGATTGGGTCAGTCTCACCACACCCAAGCCAGGCTCTGCACCCTTCGCGTCCGTTTGACGACGCGGACAAGGACAAATAGCTTGGAGGAGGCCCAGGAGGGGGAGGGCCACATCGCTACTTGTCTGGGGAGATGCCAATTTCCCCCGCACGAAGCCATTCCCTTGTCGGAATGGCGCTGCCTGGGTGCCCCTGTCCCTGACTGCTGCAGTGCTGCTTAGATGCAAGCCTACCGAGGTGAAGCTGCTTCCTTTTTACGTCTTTTTACAGGAAAATATCGAAAATTGCGGCAAGCAGACGAAGACGAAGGAAAAAGCATCTGATTATGGCACATTTCTACCTTACGCTCCTAGATAGCTGACGTTGGCGACGGATCGGGCTCCATGCCATATTTGCTTCTGTCACATGTATATACCTACATCGTGACACTGACACTTGACATTGACATTGACGTTGACACTGACAAGACTGACAGAAAAACGAATCCATCATTTCCTTTCTTTCCGTGGATGGATCTGACCGCGGCTTGACCTGTGATGAAAGATCCTCGTCTCATCAACGGCCGACCGCTTGGGATTTAACTCTAAACCAGAGCGAGCGGGAACAGACGACCATAACGAGGACCCCGATGCTCCCTTTGCCGGTTCTTTGGCTGGTTGAAGTTGGAAAGAGCCCAGTCTGGTCCTTTTGCTGGGGCGGTACAGGGGTGCACCGGCGGATATGGCTCGAGTCGCGCCAGAGATCGGCCGAACAAGCCGGCTGACCCCTCCCCTCCCGCCTCCAGACCTCCTCCCCCTCTGTCCTCCTCTGTCTGACCGAGACCTGAGCCAAGTTGCTAGCGCAAGTTAGCCTCTTCCTCTCGTGAAGACATGTTGATTGCCACCGACACTTACGGTACTCATAGTACAGTAGTAGCCCATCGTGGCGTGGCGTCAAGTAGCTTGGGAAGAGCTTGAGGTTGTGTCACACTTCATCTTGCATCACACATGGCGCTCTGCCTCCAATACGTTTATTCAGCATTCATCTAGCTAGCCACGCAGCTCCGCGCGCGACAGTGGATGCTCTGGGCCGTAGCTCTCTCAACGGCGCGTGTCGTACCTGAGCGTGCGTGCCTGCGTGCGAAGCCGTCCGAGAAAGATCTACCTCATCTCGTCTCGCGGCACTGACGGCAGAACGGTCTGTGAACAGACGGTCGCTCCCTGGCCCTGCCTAGTTGTGTGGGGATGAGACTTTGGACCACTAATATTCCCTCGCTGATATTGATGAAGAACGTCCCTGCTCAATTCTTGCCGAGATTTCCCACGAGTTGACTCTATGGAAATTGGAAAGCAACGTGGTTCATAGCCAGTCACGTAGGTCTCGTGACGATGCAAATTTCGGCAAAAAATGGCCTAGAGTCTGCTATGGCGAGTGGTGAACTTTCTCGTCGCGTTTGGCTTTTCCGCCCCGTTGTTGGTTGTCGCGTTCCACCCCCCCCCCCCCTCTAGCTAGCAAGCGTCGCACCAGGCGAGTTGGTGTGTTTCTGATGACCCGTCTAACAATGAGACTTGAGAGGGGATCGTCGACGTCCAAGAATTCCCGAGCTGAAGCCTCCGAGGCTGCTTGTGACGGGCGAGGCAATTCGACGCCGGCGCTTAGTGCCTTGTTGTTCGTATAGGAGGAGAGAGAGGGTAACGTCGGCTGCGACCCGAATGGAATCTCAGTCTTGCGACAGCCGGTCGGGCGGCTTGATGCCGGCTCGCATTGATTGCTGAGGTCTTTTAGTCCTCTTTCCGTGCCTTTTCTTTTTCCCCTTGAAAGCAGCTTAGATTGACAGTGCCCCGATCTTGTGCATCCCATTGCTTTTTTATTTCAACGGCGGCCATCGGCCGGGGCCCAGGACATGGTCGGCACAATTCTCCGCAGAGTCGCAGCGGATTTCTGGGCCCGGATGCGCTCTTTGCTTTCCCAAGAGGCCGGGCATTTTCCGACGCTTGACGTGGCGCTTCTCATCCAATACTCTGGATGATTCGTTCGGGCCGTTTGCTATACGTATGTTTCGAGAGCGCCTGATAGAATATTGCTTATTCTGAAAGTCATGCGTAGAGACGCTCGCAGTCTTGTCGGTAACTGCAAAGGCCGCCAAATCGGCCGAAGTCGCACGCCAGAAATTGGTTAGGAACAGCAACGCACCGCTTTGCGTCTGGTCTAGCTGTCGTGAGAGGGCTATGGGAACCCAACTGACTATTAATTTGAAGATTGACAAGTTTAGAAAGTTGTCCAAGTAATTGCAAAAAGAAAACTGGGTGGGCACGGCTTTTAAACGCAATTGAGGAGCCTTGAGCACCTGATGTGAGCACGACATTCGCTGGGTTGATGAGGTCAACCATCAAGCGGCACGACACCTCGATGGTGTGCCAACCACTACGTAGAGGCTACTTGATTCAAACGACTACGGTAAAGTTATGTGGCAGGCATAACGGAAGTCCGCCGAGGGGACCCCGAGACCGCCTTTGGTGATAATGACGATAACACTCACTAATTACCTCTGAAAGGCGGTTTCCAGTTTTGAGCTAGGGGCAGTGAAGCTGTATCTTTCTGAATCAGGAAAGAAAACTGTTCCAAAAATCCAGAGACCATGGTAAGGGAGATGGAAAGTACCCGAAGCTTCTACATTACTAAAATGATCTACCTCGACCTTCCCATTGTGTTTCGACACCTCTCAGCACTATATACATCAGTGAACTAAGAGCAATTCCCAATTGTATACCGATATCCCCGGCCCGTACTGCAATGGGTCCAGTATACCACGCAGTGTCCATAGAAGGGACGACCAGCCCGAAAGAACAGCAGAGCGATGCCAAGGCCGCAAATCCAAGCGGGAGTGCCTTTGGATTATCCCAGTCAGAGACGTTGTACGCAGAATACTGGCCCCGACGAGAATAGAAGTGCTCAGTAAGCGCGATGCTAGTATACGAGGCCGTCCAGTAGCCAACGACGCTCAGGAAGTTCGATAGAGAGTTGTAAAAGTTGGAGCTGGCAACAATTGAGATGGGCACAATGATTGCCACAATGACAAGGGAGTATAGGTATCGGGAAAGGCGACTGAGAATCGGATGAAGAGACTGGAAGCTGATGGAGAGCGAATATAGAGTGCACGCTGTGAGACCAAGCACGGAGAACGCCAACAGGACCGAGACGAACTTTCCAAATCCTCCCAGAGGAGAGTTCATGGCATTGATGATACCACCGACGGAGTAGAGTCCGTAAGCCTCAGCCCAAGTCTCGTTTGCTGGCACAGCAGTACCTGCAGCGGCACCTAGAATGAGTAGCAGAATTGAAGGGACGCTGTACCCTGCGTATACGCATAAGAAGATCTTGATTCTGTTGTAGATATGGCGCAAGCCTAGTCCAGTCTCAGTTGGGCGCAAGTCACGGCCTACCTTGGCGTGGATGGGTCGATATAGACGGCGAAGTCCGATACCAATGGAGCCCAACTAGTACACAGACTTGCACATGCAGCGGCAAAGGTCAAGACACTCCTTGGTGATAATGCAACAGTCTCGGCACTAGTACCAGCAAACGACTTTGCACTGACGCCGGCAACAATGACGAGAGCAACAGAAGATGGAGCCCACAAGTATTGATCAATGTAATGCAGATATTTGTAGCCCAGGAAGGATATGGGCAGTGCGCCGACGACACTGATTGTGATACCCACAGCCAAGCTGAGGTCGCCTTCAGAAACAGCCGTGAGAGTCTGCCCACTGACAATAGATGTCATGATGGTGTAACCTATCAAGGTAACGATTTGCAGCAGCGCAGTGCCGACAGAAGAGTAGTAGCTATTTCTCAAGTCAGCTACAATGGAAGATACAGTCATCAAGCGTCGGATTGAGTACCCGAAGTAGTATCTTGTCTGAACCATTTGACGCATGCCGGTCTTTGGCCCCATTGTGCCCATCCAGGCAACGGGAAGCATGAATAGGAGGGTGCTTAGCACAATGACTAATGAAGCAACAGCAAGATCTAGCCCAAAGACCAGGGTTCCGGATATGCCAGTGGTCATGCTTATAATTTTCATCAGCTTGGCGAACAAGACCAAGTCTTCCGCGCGGAGGCGCGATAATTCAGGAAAGGATTTCGAAACTTACGGAAGAGTAGTGCAGTTTGCGGTGAGCCACAACGTGAATAGCTGTAAAGTATTCTTGTCGGTTCTCTCTTCAATCGGAACCGGTGCCACGCCTCGAGTTTCGGCAGAGCTCAACGAGGCTTTCCGCAACTTGGCAAGCCAGTCCCTTGATGGGGGGTTTTGAGAGCCTGCTTCGAGAGCGGCATTTTCGACGTCGTCGCCGAGCCTGTTCTCAAGGTCGACTGACTCGGGCTTTTCGTGTCTTGTGGTCATCGTTTCTACGCGTGCGATGTAGGTGAGAATCTCAGTTGACTAGGTGGCACAGTGGCTAGGAGCATATTGCTGGTTCTTCCAGCGAACGGGTCTCAGAGGTTTGGTGCGACCGCTTCTTTTATTGTCTACTACAAACAAATGTCTCTCTATATCTTTTACGTCATTGGGCGCGGCATATCAAATTCCGTCCTACACAGCAAGGGGCATGTAAATCCAGTCATTTTCGGATGATAACACAAATTAGTACATCAACTCGCGCCAATCTATTGTCCACCCCTTCCCCCAGGATGTTCCACTCCCAAGATGGAATCCTGCTATTATCTTATCATCGTAGTTATTTAGTAGCAAATTGAAGTTAGGCATTCCGTTGAGTAAAAACACGACACACCATGGCGTAAACACTGAGTCGTGTATGGGTTGGGGATGAGAAGATAACTCCCACACCTTACCACGCGGAAGATGAATTCCGCAAGATCGTTGTCTTTGAAACGGGTCAGTCTCCAGATTCGAAATATAAACAGAGCTGATAACCTTTAGATAAGTAAGATGCGAAGGCCGGATCACAGAGATTGGGTAGAGATAGGATAGTTTCCAGCATACTGCCGACTTGTTGATTCTTAAATACCGATGCCGTTCTTCTAGATTACGATGCCACCACACTGCGCGATAACTTTGACTTCGGACACACAGGCAATATGGATGCAACCCGAGAGCATTCTGACAGCGACGTATCGTTTTGTTTGATGAGGAGGTCTGGCAGACTTTGATAGTTCAGTGCCGTCAATCCATGTGAGCAGAAACCTGACCGAACAGAGCGAGACTATAAGGCTCATAAACGCCAACATCCACTTATCCGATTTCTCAGCTTATAAGACTCTCTAACCCGCGCATCAGGCTTCATAGCCGCTTCCTGTCTTTGCCAACGAGTCGACCGGCGTTACGTATCTACAAAGTCGTCAGCCATGTCATAATTCCAATATTACGAGCATGTGGGCCACGATGTTAGGCAGATGGGGGCGCCGCTTACAGCCAAGCAGTCAGCACTGGTGACCGCATTGAATGTGCCGGCCAAGGTACGAAGGTAACATCACCCACCCCACAATCCCTGTTCTGGCAAGTGATGCTTTTCATCAATTAGCATGCGGCTAAGACCCAGCATCCGATGACTTCTTCAAGGAAATCAACGACCAGATTGATAGAGCCTTCAAGAAACTGTGAAGTTGAATCTGGAAGACGACGGCACAGAGGGCTGGTCCCAGATGTTTCGGATTAACTCTTACCACGTGCCCATCAACGACGAGACATTGGCAGTTAGGATCGGAAACTTCAGGCAGTATATGCTAGATCACCAGCCTAGATGAACATGTATTGAGTTACGTGCTTAGACGAGGATGATCGAAGTCGTAGCTTACGATCCAGCATCCTTCCAGTCACATCCCAGTGAGGTGTTGCGTAGAAAGCCGAGAAGTCGTGAGATGTGAAGAGTCACATTCCATTGGTACTCTAGCTCACCAAAACAAAACATGTTATCATTGTCGTGGTTTGCAATTTGCATATGGCCTGCGAGAGAATCGCCGATCGGATGAACGAATGCCTTGGACGTTAAGAAGTTCACTTTGCCTGCATATTGCACTGTGAGCGTAGTCATGTATCGATTGAATGACACACCTATTATATATCGAGAAAATCATGACGTTGAGGCTGATTTCCTCCGGACTTTCGTTTCAGTGCTAGGAGCCAGCCATCTGTGAGTCATTCAGTCGTTGTAGGTGCAGCCTATTGATGCCCCTCAGGCATCTTATCAACGTGTCCCCTCAAGAGGCGTCGAAGCACCTACTTTGTTCTGTATGACATGCCGAGGTCATCGTAGAGGTCGATTGAGGTGTACCGATGGTTTGTTTGTATTTGTCTGGTATACCACGGCTTCAAAAGTGCAAAAATGCTCCTTAATATCAAAGGCATGTTCCCACACCGAGGTTCGAGCTCGGGTCTCTCCGGAACGCTTTCACGGAACTGAAAGCGGAGTATCCTAACCACTGGACTATATGGGATATTGTTCAAGGTACTCTGATAAGCTGAAGTCGCTGTGTGATTTGGGCATCAGATATCAGAAGCAGGGAGTTGTCGCGAACTTAGCTCCTCCAGGAATTCGATAATTGCACGAGAACCAATTTCGGTGAGAGAAACGGGTTCGTCTTCAAGACTTCTAAAAGGCCTATCCATAACATTGAAAGACGCCGGGTGTCCTTGACCTCAGCCGGTTGAGTTGGCAACTTTGATTATGGGGACGTACTCTTAGAAAGAGCTTATGTTCCATAGAGCTTGGCCCCTTTATGCTACGGCATATATCATGAAACCTACTAATTCATCTTTGGGGGACGAAAACATCGTAGACCCCAAGCCTCTCTCAACTCCCATATGACTGGTTTCCATAGTTGTCTTTAACATGCCTTGCCAAAATCCTCAGTAAGCTCACTTTCTTCTGGTTAGCAACACGGAGCTGTCAGGCGTTTCAGTTATGACTCATTCAAGAACTGGTGACTGCCTCATGTGTATCTAGAGTTGAATGCCTAGAAGTAAACGATGATACATATAATCATACAATCACTCCAAACACACCGGTATTCTTTGCTCTTCCACGATTCGCCACTGGCCGTCTGCTAGCTCATACTTCCTCCTACATACCTCGTCCTTGTATAGAACAACCTCTTTGTTGACCAGAATCGCACCAAAATGATCGTCGACACTCCAATCGTTTTCTGCGCGGAGGTCCTGGCTCGTCTTTGAAATGGCGGCGAACAATCTCGTGTCCCAGATGCTATCCCGGCGGGGGAAGTCCCTGAGCAAGCGGTGCGCTTCTTTTCTAACGTCTGCATCCACACAGTAGATGCTCGCAGAAAGAATGGCCCAGCTCGGACTGGTGTCCATAGTGAAAACCTCTCTGGATTGGTCCATACTTGATTGTCCCTCGAGAACGATCCTACTCATAGCGAGTATCTCACTGAATTCCTCTGTCGAGTCGACTAGAACTTTTCTGTTTGTGTATTGAGAGCTCTTCACAGAAATGACGAGTGACTTGTATAAAAGCTCAAGGCTCAACGTTTGTAGTCTTGAGCGCTCATTGTGCGCTGTTTCAGACGGAGACTTTGTGGTTGATAACGCCTTGAACCGGATGTGCCACCGATCGAGGATGCCCATATGTCTTTTGACTTGATATTTAGGGATCTCTGTCAGATTTGTAGGAGTCCTCAAGTCTTCAAAGTGCAATGCGGAATGCATCTGTGTTTTGTATATGATGAAGTGTTGAATAACCTCCCACCACCGATGAGCCTCTGAAAGCGTTGCAAAGCTCTTTGGCAGCTCGTCGACTGCATAGCGACTTCTTCTTCCGCGGCAGCACCAAGGTACCCAGGTCACAGTCTCGGTCGGATGATATCCATTCATGGTCCATGATGACAAGGTGAAGCGCTGAAATCCAGAGATAACCTCATCAATAAGCTTTGGAGGGCATTCTCCACTTACACCCTGCTTCATCACTTGATCGAGCATACTGCATCCATGATTTATATGGGTGAGCGCAGCTTGATGATTGCCCTGTATGGCCTCGAACGTGACGAAGAGAATACAAGAGAGGAGAGCACGAGGGATGCTCCTCTTTGATGATGCGCTGGATCGAATGATGTGAATGGCTCTTCCATAATGTTGCAGAGCATCCTTCATGAATGGACCCTCGCCACCGGTGCGTTGTGTGCGACTATCGCTGCCCAAAGTGGCTGCGCCAATGGCAAACGCTGCGTGTCTGATGGCCGGCTCTTCACGGGCAATTTGTGGTATGAGCTGCGTGATGAGATCCGACGGAAACAGAGTAAACTGCTTGCTGAATGTCATCCAATACTCAAATTGATCTTTCTCGAGTTGTGCAGTGAACATGTACGTCTCGTAGTTGGGTCGAATGAGCAGTGGGCGGTATTCCTGCAGTCTACACTCGTCTCCCATGGTCTTTGTTGCATATCCTTCGCAAGTTCGCTTTGATTTACCGCAATTTAGACAGGATGGCTTTCCCTCGTCGCACCGGATGCGTCGTTTTCTAATAGTTACGTTAGCTCGCCGCATCACAAGGATCAATGAAAATTGATCAGAACGCATTTCTCAAAGGGGGTTGTTATGTCTTCGTGTTGCTCGTAACTCACTTGCATGTGATACAGCCTGCCCGAGACTTCGGAGCTTGTCTTCGATTTACCTTCGGCCGGTCACTGAGGGCCCAGCTGAGGGTCTGGGGCGCTGAGACCGGAGCCACCGGCGTGGGTGGCTTCTGAAGGGCTCTATACGCCATGGAAGGTCGAGCTTTTGATTTTCTGGTCGAATCCTTCAGTCGATGCTGACGTTGCCGAGGGCTTCACACTCACCGGCTCTGGGAGATTCAACGGAGAATTCGAAGCGGCGTGAAAGAGGAGCGGTAGGGCTGACATTTGAAGGTCGCCGCCACAATAGAGATACCTCCTGTCAAAATAGGCTAAGCAAGTATTGGCGACCCCAGCCGCCTCGCTTGTCCACCCACGTCCGTCGATCCCAGCGTAGGCAGCATAATTCGGCCTTATCCGAGGTTCCTTCCACGGCATCGAAATCTGACCCTTGGCATTAACTGCCCTATTAGAGACGTAAACGCGAACTAACTGGAGTCATGTCGCGTCAGCTTACCACATCACCTCAGTATCATCTCCCAACGAGGAGCGAGGATTGGCAGCTAAACACATTTTCCACAGAAAGAATTTTGAGCTAGGACAGTTTTATTGAGTTGGTGGGTAGGAACATGCGAACTATCTTACCCATACCTACGCCGGTGCTGCCTATGGCATTGGGAAGGGCTCAAGGGAGCCCACCCATGGAAATCAATCAACGACCACACCAATACTCATCAAGTGAACTGCAACAGCATGATTTCGATTCCAGAGGGAAGGCGCGACGGCAAGATCAAGCTAGAAATTGGATTGATGCAAGGT